GAAAAGTGCTTTAAGTATAAACATTCACACTATCAATAAAACAATGTGAATCTGATGAGCAAAAATTAAGTACATTCTTGTTTATGTAGCAGCAACAAATCAAGGTTTTCAAATGTCAAACATCTGAAATAAAAGAAAAGTGTGATAAGTTTAAACATCTAACACACACTATCAATAAAACTGCATCTGCATAGCACAAACCAAGTACAGTAGGAAGTTTGGCATAGAAGGTGACCAGGATTAAGCTTAACAACAGAGTCTGTGTAATTATTCTTCAAGGGAGAAAAAAAAAGTTAATACGTTATACTCTGTGTGTATCTGAGTCAACCCAATGCACATTGAGGTTTATCAGTGGTACTGGGGAGACATCTGAAGTCCAAATAACTGTGGGGCTCAATGCTGGAACTCCTTTGAACTTCTCAGCTAACTTGGTTGACGCTCGATGTATAGTTCAGGGTGCTCAGTCTCTGATAAATATCTTCTGGAGAGGGTAAACTATATCTTCAGTGTTTCCCCTACGATAATACAAGCAGGGCGTCCCTCACTAACAGAACCAAGCACCCTGCCTACCCAAGTTAAGCAACTTTTCAGTAATCCCTTTAGTTTTCTCATTGTCTGATTTACCTTGTTTTTGTAATGACTCCAGAAGTAATTCCCGTCAGCTACTTTCGTCTTTCTGCCCTCTGGTAAAAAAATAATATCCTTGTGAATCCTTGTGTGGTGTTTTGTTTTTTTTCAAATGTTGATTTAAGTTTGTTGTATTATAAGTCGCAACGGAGCTTCTGCCTCTCGGTACAATGGCTTTGTAAACTTTGCACGTTGCTGACATGTTTTGCAGTGTTCCTAGCGTAAAATATTTCCACACAGTGGACATGGGATGAAAAGTTGGTTAGCCACAGTGCTGCTCAATGCTCGCCTACTAGCTGGCTGCAAACTGTGGAATGGATTTCCTGAACGGAGGTGTGTCTCATAACTCTGTACCTCATGAGACACGCTTCCGTTCAGAAAATCCATTCCATATTTTGCAGCCATCTATCAGAGCAGCCAGCAGGGAATCACTTGTGGAGTAATTTCAGCAGAGAACATTAAAGCACAGACATGGCTCATGGAATGGAAAGCTCTGGAGGTTGGATCTAAAATTTCCCATCAGTGAATTACGTTGGTATCAGAACGCAACACTGATACTGGATCGGATCGACCCAATCCCTACTAGGAAACTCTAGTGAAAGACAGAAAGCTTGCCATCTCCTTTTTTTTTAAATAACTGCAATGCATTGCAAACTAGCAATGATTTAAGTAAAAAAAAAGAAAAAAAAAAATGGCAGTGTTTCCATTAGGTTTCTGTCCTTGGGAGAGAGGTGTCAGTTAGTTGTCAGAAGTTGGGACAAAAAAAAACATGTTTTCCTCTTAATAGGTTTTAATAGTTTTATTACTTGGACAATTGGTTTAGAAAGTGTGCAGCTTTTCTCACTGCTTTGTACTCTTTAGGGCTTCTCAAATAACTTTCAAAGCTTCTTGTTGTAGATTGAAACACACGTAAAAGTTTTTTATTTTATTTATTTATTATTTTGGTTGGGCAGCACGGTGGCGCAACTGGTAGAGCTGCTGCCTCTCAGCGAGCAGGTCTCTGGTTCAAACCCTGGTACGGGGACCTTTCTGGGTGGAGTTTGCATGTTCTCTCCGTGCATGTGTGGGTTTTCTCTGAGTTCTCCAATTTCCTCCTACAGTCCAAAAACATGCATGTTAGGCTGATTGGTAACTCTAAATTGTCCCTAGGTGTGAGTGAGAGAGTGAATGGTTGTTTGTCTCGTTTGTCTCTATGTGTCCCTCTGATGGACTTGCGACCTGTCCAGGGTGTACCCCACCCCTCGCACAGTGATTGCTGGACATGGGCACCAGCGACCCCCGTGACCCAAAATGGAATAAGCAGGTAAAGAAAATGGATGGATGGAATTTAATCTCATTTAGTCATTTGATGCAATTTATTTTTCACATTTAATCATTTATTGAATTTCATTTACAGAGATTAAAGCAAAAATAAATCATTTGACTGAAATTTACAAGAAACAGTTTACACAAGCCATCCCCTGTTTTGTGATATTCCAGATGAGCAATTTAGGTCTTTGGCATTATGCTACACGTCTAACAGGGGCTTGTGTGCAAACTATGACAGTGGTCATCTTAAAATCAACCTGGCAGAAATTGCTTATCTGTGTTTGGAAAGTTCAATTTTCAAGTATTATAATTATTTAGTATAGCATTACGTATTATAGTATTAAGTATAGCATTTCAAGTATTTTAAAGAAATCCCTCTAACAGCTGAATCTAGATGCAATCACACATTTGCTCATTACCTGGAGATGACATTTTATGTGAACAATACTAAAGGTGGCAGTGTTTTCCTGCAGTTTTTTTTTTTAGGTGGGCAACAAACAGCACAGCAGACGGGGGTGGGGGCGCTGAGTGACAAAACTATTGCAAATAAAATAGCCTTGTGTTCTGAATGAGGTAGCTATAAATAGAAAGAGACTTCTAGATGAAGTTGTAAAGGGGAAAGCAAAAAGAAAGAAAAGGCAAAAATGATAGAAGGTTCTGGTTGTCTACTTCAAGGTGATGGAGTCAGTCAACACCCACAGAGCCTGTCCATTCTCATGAAAACAATGATTCTGACTCAGCTCACCAAGAGCACAGCATGACATTTAGCTGTAAACTCCGCAATGGTTTAGGACTCCTACACAAATACAATACTTTGCTGAGAAAAAAAAAAAAAAACACTATTGATTACATTACAAATAAACAGATAAAATGATACTTGTGACAGCTAGCTAAATGCTGATTCACACTAGGACGTCTCAATGACATTTGCACTTAATCCCTGACATTCAGCATACATTTGCACACACAGAAATATGCTTTCAGCAAAGGAAACATCCTTGAAAACATTAAAGTGAAACATACGTAAATATGCAGACGCATAAAGACAAAAAAAAAAAAAGGTTTTCCTAAGAACTGCCATGAACAAATAATCAGGTATGTGATGATCCCATAAGCACATTAGTGATAAAAACCTATTACTTCCTGATTATACATCAGCCTCTTTGTTCTTTTCAAGTGCTTTATAGAAAAAGGATCAAAGATGATAGAAAAAAACAACTAAGTTATTTCCGCTCGAAGCCCCCAGCTCTACAAATCCTCACCTAACCCAAACCCACACATATCCTGCACAATACCCACTAAACAAATATAGAACATAGCCTCGAACTCATCACTGTTTATAACAGCATCCATTCACAGTTTGAGAATATTTTGGTACCCCAGTAAAACAAAGACTGAAGATATGTGGATGTAGGAATGCTGTATGCAGCAGCAAAAAGTGCTGCACAGTTGGCAGGGGTGGAAAGATGGGAGGTGTTTTCACACCCCACTTTGAGAAGTGGAGTTTCACTCCCTTGGAATGAACATGCACTAAACTGACAACCTGCCTCAATACACCAGAGATTCAGAGTGTCATCTCTTGGAAAATTCATTGTAAAGTCTTCCTGCATCCAATAGATCTTTCTTTGATGTAATCGCTAATTAAGAGAACAGAAAAATAAAGTGAAGAATACGTCCATTAATCTAGTGGGTTAATAGGCAGCAGAGAGACTTAGAAATATCTTTGTGGGTTGATGAAATGAGTAAAAAGATGAACAGGAGAAACAAAAGCAATTTTAGGTAAAATAATCACATAAAATATACAACAGAAGCAAGAACAGCCTAACTCAGTGCAGTGATTTCTTTTTCTTGCATTATAGCATTATGTGTCTAGAAAATGTAATTGTAATCTGTGAGCAGAATACCAAACAAACTATAAGCACTAAGACTGTAGAGTGGTTCTGTACCTAGATTGATTTGTTATCACACACAGGCTTTAATTTTACTCAGCAGTGAAATAATTTAACTGAAAAAACTGCAACCCTACAGATCAATACAAAAGGAACTCTAAATTTAAACAAAATCTACTGGACAGACTTTCTGTCAAGTAAAATTCAATTCAATATAAAGAAGAGGATAAAAACAGCATTTATTACAAGGACACATCATGCCCAAAACAGTGTTCATCTTTCTCACAACTTTTTGCAAAGCTCACGGAGGATTAAACAAAAATTCATTTTGCAAACCACTCTTTCAGAAAATCTTTATTTTGAAGAAAATAAAACAGCGATGACAGTATGCCGAACCTCTTTCTCATATTCTCATAACCTTAAGAAGCAGCCTGTTCACTGGTGTATGCGGCACTCAGGCAGCTCCACAGAGACGCATGCAAATTAACTTAAGTCTCGAATGAAGCAGCAAGAGAAGAAGGAACCAAATAGCGACTTACTGTCAAGTGCTGAGCATAAATACAAGAAAGTTTAGTTTGGGGAGCCTTTTGATACTTAATTTAACATATGATTGAGGGAGCTGTTTCCCCCCACCCCAGCAATTGTTTTTCTTATTTAAAAAAAAAAAGTTTCACACAGCATATCTATTAATTAGAATGACTTGGTAATCTCAAAAACAGAATCTGAATTGCTAGCAACATAATTAAACTGCCTACACCATAATTAGATTTAACAAGCTTCTGTCAGACCTTGGAAAAAAAAAAAGCCTGGCTTATTATTTCCATCTATTTCTAACACTTCTCTGTAAACAATACTGTCTGCCAGTGTGTTCGTGAATCATGCACGCTCCAGCTAAGCTTCAAGAGGGGTACAGGGTCACAGTTGGGCAATGCACTGCAAAAACAGGATGGCCTGGAGGTGTCATAACACACTGTGATGAACTTGGTACTCTATGATGCTCAGTTTTGATGGTGCATTGTGGCATCAAGCCACCTGTATTCTATAAGCTATAGTCCAAAGCAAATTTTGTTTATCATCTTTAGATATTAATATTAAGAGAGCATCACTAACAGGTCTATATACAGTATGCATTCTGCAGGTGCAATAGCAATAAAGTATAATATGAGTGGAACTTACATTGCCTTGGTTGATAAAACCATGTTCCTTGGCGATGCGGTCAGCCTCCTCTAGGCCCCCGTTGATCTGGACAGCCCAAGTGTTGGTGTACATCTCTGCAGCATCAATCCACTTCAGTTCAGCTGTCAGCAGGACAAGACCTGTCCAAACGAGCAGCAGGGCCACCTGGGCATCCATTAAAAGAAGAACGCTTCACAGGGGCAGCCTATTCTTCTGTCATTCACAGCCTCCCAGGCAGAGTTGGACTGCTCTACCTTACAGCAGCAAAGTAGAACAGTGGCCTAGAGAGGAGAGGACAGAGCAAGCTATAAACAAAAACATGGCCTTTTTAACTGGGTCACTCTTGGGCTTGAATTAACCACTGCAGACACCTTCTGACCCAAACAAACCCAAACAGACATCACACCCTCACACCTTAACATTCAATTTAAAAGAAGCTTACTGAGACTACAAAAAATGTGCAAAGCATATTTTTTTCATCAAAACAGACAAAGGAGCTACCAAAACCAAACTTATTTATCAATTCTTCTTTATCTTTTTGAGACCTGAAATGGTAATGTATGGTAATGATAAGCAGTGAGCATGACGCTGAAATACAGGAAAAGCTACAAGCAAGTCAGTACTGCTAATGGCAAAAAGAAGACAAAAGGTGCTTTACAGAGGAGAGCATGTTTAAATTCTCACTCAGACACTGGTCTTTAGTTTAGATTAATCTGGAATGTAAATTCGACCAGCTACTTATTAGGCATGACGAGATATCTTCAACACATTCTAACTGGACAGTAAAATACCAGGCATGACGAAAAGAACCATTATCTGAGCAGGAGTTCAAACAAACGACGTCCCAGCCTGCCTTCACTTCTGGCCTTTGATTTGTAGCTGTCTGAGCAGTTGGAAAGCGGTCTATACGTTAGAGAAAATAGACTGGGTATATGCTAAGTGTGGGAGTTTAATCTGTAAAAGATAAAGAGAGACAATGCAGACACGGAAGTCTGTTCTGTGTCCGCTGATACTACCAAAATAGCATTACTGTTCCAGTACATTTACTACATTGTTGATGCATGAAGTGCCAAAAATGTAAACTTGTTGTAAATTATGAAAAGTCACCCTAGCTGGATTTGTTTACAAGCAGTTGTGAGTGTTAAACAGTATGCTTTCTAAGGTGGACAACATAACTAATTAATTAGATCTAACCTAATGTTCACAGATAGCTAGAACTTTTGACAATAGTACTGTTATTTCAGATTCCTTCAAATATAGTTAGTCTCTCTTCTCTACTTGCTGAAGTCTTCCACTTCTGTGTACTTATGTTCAAAATCACAACATGTTTCATATAACGACCAGATGGATCTCTGCTGTTTTTGCTGACTGTGCTGCAGAGATAGAGAAAATGAGCAGAATGTGTGTGTGTGTGTGTGTGTAGTAGTCAACACACAGTTTTGCTTTCTTTTCCATTTTTACCTTCCATTTACCTGCACATTAGCACATAAATAAACTCATTGGTGTTGCATCACTGATTATTATCACTACCAGCAGCATTTTTGCTAATTCAATACGAAAAACTTACAATTACTGCATCTAATCTTTTTTAATATTCAATTGTCGATTTCATTATAGTTCAACTTTTCCTGCGTGTTAATATTTCAAATCCTCCGTTTGTTGACATTAATAAGAACCAACATTGCTTTGAGTAGAAATCACAGTGCTGCAAAATCCTGAAACACGATTTATTTTATTAAAGATCATCATACATCAGCATCTTATATCAGCCCGTTTGAAATAGAGCTTTTGTGTTTGTAGATTGTAGTGGGATCTCTAAAGATTAGGGTCTCTTCACACTGAAACCATAAGATTACATCAGGTTGGTACCTGGGGATTTTGCAGGCAGGGTAAAAAAAAAAAAACCTAACAAGTGCTGTTATTTTTTTCTTTAGTAGGAGTGCTGTTGCCATGTGGTGTGGATTGGTCTACAAAATAATTAAGGTAGCTGGCAAGTGTCAAAGAATCCTCTATGGATGGTTTGGATGCAGGTTTTTCCCAACAGACTGTTTCAGCGTAATAAAGCAGTGTTACTCTATTTACCTGTGGCTAATGTCATACTTGATCAGCTTATGCCAAAATATTCCAGCATTGAAAATATCATTCTTCATTTTTTTTTTAGATAATCATACCAGAGCTGGTAAGTGTTCAAAGAGGAGAAACTCACAGAAAACATCTGTGGCCTCACAAATGCATTTGGAAGTGGGCGTGATTTAAGTGCATCACGAGAGGTGCTGGAAACAGAACCAGAGGCTGTCACTCTTCTGTGGAGCAATTCTTCTGAGCTCATTAGATGCTGTGCTGGAGACACAAAAACCAGGTTCTGCTGTCACTGAGCGGGCTGCGAGAGGGAGGAATGCATAGATGGAGAGGAAAGACGGGAGATCTTTCTCCTCGCACAGCATTGCGGAAAATAATGAGCACGTAATAACAAAATGCTTAACACAAATTCACACAAAACAGCCTGGAGAGGTGTTAACAAGTGGCTGCGTCCTCTTACAATATACATCAAAGACGTAAAAGTGAGAAGAAACTTCAACCTTCAAACCCCACAAGAACAAAGTCTCTAAGCGCTAATGAAAACAGAAAATAGTGGCACAACCTCTGTGGAGAACAATGCTGTACTGGAGTCAAACTGCCTGTGGGAACAGGGGTGGAGTGACCTGCAATATGCTAAATAACAAGTGAACTTTAAATTAATAATTCAGCACCTTGTGTTTCAAACTATTGACGGAAATCCGAGTGTGACTTATGCCATGGAGACGAAGTGGGTGCACGGTGTAATTTTGATTAGAAAAGCAACATCAGCTCATTTTTTTTTAGCAAAACACTTTCCATTGAATTCCTAATAAGCATTCCTGTCACCTTCGTCAGCATCAGCAGCAACAGTGTCTGAGGAGCACATGGGAGCTTCTCAACAGCTACACTGAGACAACTGCAGCAATGAATCAGCAATCCACTGTACAATACTTTGAATTAGTATTATGATAACCCCATTAGGCTCTGGGCAAACATCTCTAGAGTAAAGATACAGTGCGAATAAAAAGTATCAGATGTTTACTCTTTTATTGCTGTTAGAAATCAGTTAGTCAATGTAAATTGGTCTTTTTGAGAAAAGAAATTAAAATGCCTCTTTAATCACAAAGTGAAATCAAATTTCTACTAATTAATGCAAACTAAATTAAATATGTAATTTATTTAAAATAAAATGGTAAACCATCCAAAGGGGGTGAAGATCTTCCCGTGCCTTATCTTAGCCCCACAAAAATAAATAAAATAAAACACTGACATAGTGAGTTAGTTTTATATTCATCATTTCAATATTTGCAGACTTTCTTCAGGTATTCCAGTTTCCTCCCACAGGCCAAAACCAAGCATGTTGTTTTTTGGCAACTAAATTGTCAGTAGGTGTGAGTGAGGGCATTAATGTGTCACTGCTACGGACTTTTGACCTGCTCAGGTTGTACCCTGCCTCTCGCACAGTGACTGATGGAGATAAACGCCAGCTTCACGCACAGAAAATGTGGTAAAAAAAAAATGGATGGATTTTAATATCTTATTTTGATCTCGAGTTATATAGTGATCAGAATGGATACGATTACATCTAGACAGATAAAAAAAAATCAGCTGAATCAGACAAACCGGTTTATTTTTGGTACGCTTGCATTGATGGTATTATTTTACATACATTTTCACAGGTTGCAAGAAATTATACTTTTTCTGTTTACTTTGCTTTATAAAAAAAGACATTTCTACAGTTCAAAAAAACATTTATTTTCTGTATGTATGTATGATGTATGTATGTATGATGTATGTATGTATGTATGGATGGATGGATGTATGGATGTATGGATGTATGTATGGATGTATGGATGGATCTATGGATGGATGGATATTCTGAACAGCTACCATTCCAATTAAGCTATTCTGAAATTCATTCTGAAAAAGCATTTTAATTTGCACAAAATTAGAAAAAGCCCTCTAGCATAGTCATCAGCATTACCCTTGCCATTTTTTTTTTATTTCAAAAATGGAAATACCTAACTAGAAAATACCTGATGAAGCCCCACAAAGCAATTGTGTTTTTGGTCATTCTTGGCCCTGATTGTGGCACGGTGCCCAGAAGGTTAAAAACAGATCTTGTGTTCAAAAACATCAACCTTGATTTCAAAAGGACTAAAAATAAACTGTAATATCCATACTGATCTTTGTATTAAAGCTTCCAGTTTTCACAGCTGAGAAATGACTACTATAATGAATCACCTCAGAATCATTTCCGAAACTACATTAAATGGTAACAGAAACCACCAATCTCAAGACATGCCATCAAGCACCACAGGTCACCCATGATGAGTAAACTGCCCTTTTCATTTTCCTACTCACATGCGCAATATTTGACCCACAGCTGCTCAGTAGAACATTAACACGAGCATATCCAGCACTGTAAAAGGAATATATCTCCCAAAGAGGGTATGACACTGTCTGCATTAGTGCTACCCTCGTGAGATGTGGTTTCTTATGCTTCATGGAAATGTGCAGACTATTTGCATTGGTAATGACAAGCACTGGAAGCTGTGACAGACCATATGCAGCACTCCAGCTCTATTTCAGGCAGCCCATCAGCTAAATCAACACCCACCATGTGCTCTGGGCTGCCCTCTTACTGAAACCAAGGCACAGAATCGAGCTGAGGCATTCGTGAAGTACCACTGACAGCCAAGTATCTTCTCCCGAGAGAGAAAATTGTTCGAAGTTAAGAGTGTAGTTGGAAAACCAGAGGCAGCGCATAGACGTGCTGTGCTCAGTCACAACAGCTATACACAGCTGGATGGGAGCTGCAGGATGACCATCAGAGAAGCACCATGGAGCCAGTGAAAGCTCCACGAAAGTCACTAAAGCCTGACCCATCTTCACTCCTACCACCTTTGGGCAGCAGAGATGGGAAAGCCTGATGAAATGCTGTGTGAGGCAGCAGAAATGTGTCCAGGGGTGGCAATCAATTGTGTAAATAACACTCCACGGAGAGGTTCAACCCGATTTTTAAAAGCCATCTGATTCTTGGCATTGTTCCCCATGTTAAACGTCCCTTCATCCACAACACTCTCTGCCCTAGTTTACAGATGAGTTATATTGTGGACGAGTTCGTTTGCGCACTTCTTTCTGCTTCGCTGCATGGCTGCTTTATAGCTCTACAGATCTTTTTGGAGAATTACCAGCACAATTTAACCCTTTGTGTTGATGGACCAAAGAAGTTTAGAATCAGTGTTTAAGGCAGTTTGAATTCCCTTAACTGCAAACCTTGGCAATAGTCTTGGGCAAAATGTAGGCCCTAACCAAGACAGACAACAAGTAACATGGTGAGGTGGTGTAATCCGTCTACGAGGGATGCTTGAAGCCATGCTTGTGACCTTGAATTTTTCTCTTAATGATGTCCCAGTGGAAATGACAAAAACAACACCATTACCTTCAGAGCAAAGACAGGACGTGCTACGTCATCTTAGGTTTATTTTCCACCTGTTTTCTTAAACAGAGCGCGCCCGGATTATGTCCAAATGGGCACAAATGCAGGATTTAATAGTGTGAAGAGATGGGTTTAAACCATTTCAGCCTTTGCTGAGGAGCAGCACTAACTGAGATTTATCACAGCAATTCACGCCTTACACTGATAGAAGTAGTTGATGCAGGTTTTACCTTTAGGGCTTCAGAATGAATAAGAGGAAAAGAGAAGGTGCAGAAAGAAAGGCAGAAAGGGTTGAAAGGATCTATATGTGTGAGAGCTGCTGCAGAAAACTACACAAACTGTTCAAAGAAATATCTCACTAACAAAAAACTTCAGAGAGGAAACACCTCAGTCGAATCAAAAGGGTTTTATTTGCCTCCTCAGTTGTTAATAAGTCAGTGAAAGCTATGCGGAGTTTTAAAAATAAATCAAATTGGTTTTGATGGTTTTAGGCTGTGGGGAAGAATTCACCTGACTTGGGGAGAAACCGCGAAAAGATGCTTTCCGAAAATATCCCCGCTTTGTCTCAGTCTGTGATTTTAACATTCAAAACACGCGTGGATTTCACGAAAACTAAATAATAATAACAAAAATCAAGAGTTAATCTTTAACAGTTACCTCAAAAAGTCAGATGCCAGCGAGGATCGAGACGTCCTCATCCTCTTCTTCTCCTCTTCGCTCCGGGCGGAGGCTCCCACTTTTTCCCCCCTTTCTTATTTTGAAGTGGGGGGTTGCCTTCCCAACTTTACATTTAATTTACTGTTTCAGTCCAAGAAATTAGTTATAATGCTACCCACACGCACCCATTCTCTCCCAGAAGTCCTGAACTATCCTCTCTTGCTTGTCATTCGCCAGTAACTTGCTATCACCATTTTTAACCGGTTAACTTCAACGTTTGCGCGAATGATTTTTTTTTTACGAGTTTCCGTCAGCCCGACTTGTTTTTGTTTGTTTGCCGAATTTAGTAAGCGAACATAAATTAACAAGACACGTAAAACAAAATCACGGGGGGCAAAAGAAAGAGGGCGAACCGAGCCACCTCGTAGTACAATGTAGCGGTTCGCTATTGGACGGAGACGATAACAAACTGCCACAAATCCCCTTTCTCCAGGAAATACGTCACGTTTAGAGCCAAGCGGATTAGTGTGTGCGTTTGATTTGAATTACTGGTGCAGTTTAAATGGGCGGCTCGTTCTTTTGTGCTGCATAAGAAGCTTGAACAAACTCAAATTGGCTAGCCTTTTCCCACTATTCATCCAATATGAACGGCTCCTTTTTCAAGCAGGTGAAAAAAAAAAAAACATTTTTTCTTTTTTTTTTATTTTTACTTACGAATGTCATCAATATAATATCAATATGAGACTAACCTGGATAAATAAAGGCTAAATGAAAAAATATATATTATGAAATATATATATATATATTATGTATGTTTTGATTAGATATTTTGTTATTGCGTGATTATGTTAAAGCTGTTTTCAATCGCGTTAATTATTATTTTTTTATTATTGTAAAAAGAACAAATTCCGTGCCACGCCTGTAAACAAAATACACGTACTGTACTTGAAAGCAGCATAACCGTTGTGCTGTGTACGGCCGCCATCTTGTGGACAGACATCGCAGCTACATGCAGGAATAAAAAACGGTACACCGTACGGTAGAGGGGGCTATAACTCACAGCTCTTAGTGAGCATTAGCTCGCATTGTTGTTTAGCCTGTTACAGCCTGGTACGAATGAAACCAGCGCTTAACACGAGCCAAAGTTATCCCGGAATAAGGACAGCACGCATGTGCCGTCAACCCGGATGTAGATATTTCCGTTAGCTCATTTCTGTAAATCTCCAAGTTATGACAAGCTCACAGTGTAAGGAAGAATTAAACAGCCGAATGAATGTATCGCGAAGAACTTGAAGTTTAAATAGAGGCAGACGGCTCATGTCCTCTTCTTCTGGGTTTCAGCCTCGCAACTGACACACATAATGGACTTTCGCGGCAGAAAGCATGAACGCGGCAGCAACTGGACCGACCCGGAGATCGTGGAGCTGCTCCAGCTGTGGTCCGACGAGTCGGTCCAGATTGAACTGGAGAGCTCCCTGCGCAACCAGCGCGTGTTTGACCGCATTGCTCACATTTTGCGCGAAAAGGGCATTTACCGCACAGGGGACCAGTGCAGGGAGAAGATCAAGAAGATGAAGCTGGAGTACCGGCGCATTAAGGACAACCACAAGATGAGGACGTGGAAGTTCTATGATGTCATGGACAGAGTCCTGGCGAACCGGCCCGCTATCACCTACTCGTCCCTGGGCGGAGCTGTCGTTGCCCAGAAGGTGTTTCAGAGCTCAGGTGGGCCAGAGGCGTTCCTGCAAGCTGTTCAGGCGGGTTCCTTTGGCCCAGCTTCCTCAGGAGGGTTCTTGTTTGGACACCCACCTAAAGAAGAGGCACTGGACATTAAATGTGAGAATATTGAGGAAAGCATGCTGAACTCGGGCGTTGCACCTCCTGAGATGTACTATGGTTCTGGAGACGAACAGGATAGTCCTGATGGACAGTCTTTGCTGGAGGCAGGAGATACACCCAGACAGGCAGAGAGCTCAACAAATCCAAGAGTCTCGCCTTCAGGTTTGTCTGCTTACTAGAACAGGAGCCGTTTTAACCTTTATATTATTAGAAAGTAACAGTATTTTTTTTATATTTCCAGATTTTAGCGACTTGAACACTGCTGGCTCTACAACAGCTGCCCCCCAAGGTGATCCTGTGGCGCAAGAAATGTCTGAGCAGCCCAGTAAGGAAGGTTTCCATGCATCGAGCTCTGTGAGACACAGGAAGCGCCGTCGAGGCGGCAGAACCTCATGGGATCGTGTGAGTGGTCAGGGGAGCCTGGGTAAAGCCCTGGTCAGCTTTCTGAACTGGCAGCAGTCTGCGGAGGAGCGCCTTCTCTCCTTGGAGGAGGCGCAGCTGGAGCGAGAGTGGCAGGCCGAGGAGCGAAGGGGACAGCGAGAGGAGAGGAGGGCGGAACACGAGCGCCAGCATGAGCTCCAGCTGTTCAGCATGCTCACCGGGGCCTTGTTCGCCACCAGGCAGGGGGCTCCCACCACAGCACCAACAGATTCCTCCGTCTCACCCTCGGCTCATCTCTCAGCTTCTCAGACAGTCACAGCCACTCCTCCTGTGTCATCTTCTTCACCACAGCCGCTCCCAGAAGCTCCCGCAAAGCAGGTGATCTCCACAGAGGAGACAACAAAGTCGCAGCCCACACCTGCCACGGCCTGCAAGATGTCACAGAAAGTTTTGCCCACACTGAGAGGGGCAGAGATGCCAGGCCGAAGTGTGTACCTGTCAAACCGTGGCAACAGCATTCGACAGCATCGAGGCATTCTGCAGGAGGGCTCCATTCAATACGCAATGAGCAAATACCACAGCATGGACAACCCTGATGTGAGTGAGCAACTCTGCATGGAGTGTCTAAAGAAAAAAAAAAAAGTAGATATGAATATTATTTAAACCAATGGTTCCCAACCCTGATCCCTGAGGAACACCATCCTGCTTGTTTTAGTTGTTCCTCTGCTCCAACACCTGATTTTAATGTTCGAGTGATTCACTTCTTCTGCAGAACTTGAGGAAGTAATTCAACCACTGAATCAGGTGTGTTAAAGAGACAACTAAAACATGCAGGATGGTGTTCCTCAAGGACCAGTGTTGGGAACCACCGATTTAAACTGTTGTTCTCTTTTTCCAGGGAATAATCAACTTGGGTACCAGTGAGAACAAACTATGCTACGACCTCCTTCATGCACGAGTAAGACAAATGTGCACACATTAAAACCTTCTGAAATGTGAATACAAGGAAACTGTCTCCCTGTGCTCAGAAACAAACTGATTAGGGCACACCACCCTCCAACTATCTTCCACTTTCATAAACAAGGAGTGCATTCGGGAGTTAAGACACACAACAATGATATTGGTTGTAAATATAAAGTTTCTACAAAAATCAGCTGTTATCCTGCCTAAATTTACAACTGCTCTTTTTTTCTGTCGTGTGACAGCTGACCAAGCCTGACATGCTCCACGTTGAGCCTTCTTTGCTGGAGTATTCGGACTGGACAGGACACTCTTTGTAAGACGGGATCATTTGCAATTTCGGTCAAAGTCGCAGTTTTCTTGAAGCATTTCTGAAATTCTTCTGCCTCGCTGTCCTTAAGCCTCAGAGAGGAAGTTGCAAGGTTCCTGACTCGGTACTGCTGCTCTCCGAAGCCGCTGAAGGCCGACAATGTAAGTAAAGGATTCTGTCGTTATTGCTGAACTTTGACACAAGATAAAAGATTACGAAAATGAAAACCAAATCTCCTTTTTTCCTGACTTTAGCATTCCAAATGATAAATGAGGCCACTAACATCTGAAATCGAAACTTTAGGATAAACTTGTTCCAATGATTGGCAGCTGCCTTGCTACAGTACTTCTGAATCTTTTTCTACTTTCCTTGCAGTAGGTTTGGCTCCAGATTGTTTGGAAATGGTGTCTTAATTGTTCCCAGCTAGATAGGCAGCAACAGTTTCATTAAAATCAGAACCATGTTGGCATAGTGTTAACAAACACCTGAATACTACAGGGAAACTGCCAGACGTTTTGCTTTAATTACTGAAGCTGACAGGTAATCAAATCAGTTTGATCAGCAGCACACTGCTGCCTACTCGTAATTTCAGCCGAAACAAAGATAGATTTATATATTTATTTACTGTTTAATCTGCCGAGTGTTTTTCGTCATTGCTCAGGTTTTATTAATCAAATTTGTGTGCCAGGTAAGGATTCAATAATATTTGTGACGTCCAGATATTAAATCTTAGTGTAGACTTACTTTATATTGCGACTAGCAGCTGTAAAACTATTTATTACCCATTAGAGCAGACATGGGCAACATATGGTTAAAGGACCAAAAGCTGCCCTTGAACATTATCTATCTGCCACCCAATATCCTTAACTGAATGGAAAACAACTTTCGCATAAGCTGATTAATAAAACATAAGGAAGTCTAAATTAAACACCTTTGACAAAAACATCTAAAATCTTTGCATTAAGATAGGCAAAAAAATTAGGGGTGCACAATATTGGATTTTTAGCCGATATTCGATATGTTAAAACTTATTTGGCCGGTAGCCAATATCAATATAGATGTTTTTTTTTCTGTCGACCTACTTACACAGACTACATAGCTTTCTCTCATGTGGAATTAAAATACTGCATTATTCTGCATGGTCTTTGTCAATTTGGCCTGCTACCAAATGCAGGGACTAACCTGTATAAATAATGGTTGAATGAAAGATGCCAATAAGGGGTCTGAAAATGATGCAACACTTCAACTTGGATCATGTTTCTTGTCAAATTTATTCATGACATTTACTCTCTCTAACACAATGACAACGCTCGAACAGTCATACAAAAACAGTGCCTTTATATATATATATATATATGAATATATATATATATATACACTGTATATAAATATATTTAAAATTTTCAATTCTCTATGTGGCCCTTTCCTTGCGTTTAATAACTAAATCTGGCCCTTGGCAAAACAACAGAAAATGTTGCCCACCTCTGCTGTAGAGCACAACGGGAGGTTATTGCACACGAGCGTGAACATATGTATAAAATGCCTGAGGAAAATATTGCAGTATTATATATCATTGTTGTATTTTTTTCCAGTATTTCTGATAGTTTCCAGTTTGCCTATTAAAAGCTAATATGTAAAGGGAGAAACAAAACGAACAGCTATTAGTAATAATGAAATCCACTTGTCTTCACCAGTTTGTTTCCATCCATCTTTTTTTATTTCACACAACAGAATAAAGCATCATCACACATTCATCTGCCCGACATACACAAAGTCAACCTCAATTAAACAATTCATCACATCACAATGACAAAACAATTTCATAAAAAGCCCCCTCCTTCCACACTCAGCCTGCTGCTGCTTTATTAAGTGGATGAATTTGTTACATATTTATCCTCCCCCACCCTACAGTGTGTTCAATGACTCGGTGGTAACACAGTGTGTGTGTGTGTGTTTGTCCAGGTTGTGGTGACGAATGGCTGCAGTTCCCTCTTTTCATGTATATCTGCAGTAATTTGTGATCCTAAAGGTAGGCTCGCAAATGCACTCGCATGTTGCTTTATCTGAAGAAAAACAGAGATCTAAAAGAAAATGACTTTTTCAGTGAGAATATCAGAGAGGGAGAAGTATTGTTGCACAGTTATGTAAACAAACTATTTTTTAAGACATCAACTTAAAATTTCACATTTTTCAATGCAGCTTCAGGCAAAATCTCTTAACTTGTCTTAAAAATGAGAGGATTTCACATATTGCTGTCAAGTTCGATCATAAAACCAGCCTTAATGTTTTTGCTATAACAGTTTGTCTAAATGATAATTACTTATTGTCTAAATTAGGGGTTCTCAAACTTTATGGGTTCAGGGACCCCTTACAGGGGAGAAAAAGTTTCAGGGACCCCCTCATAACCCTGATGTTTATTAAAATATTTTCTTCAGTTTGTCTCTTTAATGCAAGGGAAATATCTGTGTAACATAAATACTTTAGACCCGTTCTTTAATAGTGTTAATACAAGTTTTATACTTTTAAACATGGGGTATTTCTCATACAAGACACAATTAATTAACAACATTTTTAATTTCAACTTCCAAAAATTACAGTTTTGAAAAAATTAACAGTATCAAACACCACTTTAAAACATCTTGTTAAAAGCAAAAAAATATATATATATTTTTTTGTGTGTGTGTGGACCCCCAAGCACCGACTCATGGACCCCCGGGGACCCCAGTTTGAGAACCAATGGTCTAAATAATGTCTGATAAATAATATTTATAGGACTATACACTTTTTTTTTAACAAAAATCACACGTTTGTAACTATAATATCAAAGAAAACCACACGTTATTTATCCCATTGATAATATAATGACATAAATCAAATAAAAAGTGTATTAATATCTTGTGTATTGCATTTGTCTCTATGTCGTAGATGCAATTCTTATTCCCACTCCCTTCTATGGTGTTATCACTGAAGATCTGGATTTGTATTGTGGCGTTAAACTCTTCCATGTTCCTCTTGATTGTGAGGTAGGAATACAGATGAAAATGTAAAAGTAAGGTGTACTTTCAGTAGTGAGTTGTTGTCCTTGTTACATTTAATCCATAGGCTGAAGGCAAAGACAGCCAGCCGTTCCAGCTCACTGTGGAGAAACTGGAAGAAGGTCTAAAAAGAGCTAAACAAGAGGTAACTTATGGAAACCTTTTTATTGTGCTCTTTCATTTAATGAATATTTAAAGCTAAGCAGAGTCACACTCATAAATGCACATAATATAACTGCCTATTTTTCTAAGAGATTTTCAGCTTTGGATCTAAAAGGCTGCACAGATGCAATAAAAGCAGTTTATATTTACCCAGAGGCTGCTTATTTCTTTAAGGGTCTGATCATCCGGGCCATTATTCTGATGAACCCCCACAATCCTCTGGCTGAAATCTACACTCAGAAAGAAATGACTGTCTTCTTGGAGTTTGCCAAAAGGTATGTCCACCCCATCACCCGGTGTGTGTGAAGTGTCAAGTGTTTGTCACACGCTTCTATCACCTCCCTATAACCTGCAGCATAATGTCAATAACCGCTATGTGTGAAAGAGTTTCCTGTATCATCTTGTGTTGTCTGAACAATCCTGCTAGAGTTATTCTCTCCTTAGACCCCTTAAAGCACAGAGCTGCTGTAACCATAAATCTCAGGGCTTTTACTCTGACAGCGGACGCTCGAGGATTCACTTCACGTTTACGTTACATTTTCTTTGTCATAAATAACCGCTAACAGTATGGAGCTGAAGCTTATAATGCTGGGCTGGAAAAAACAAACAGTGTTTGTTTGGCTCTTCTTTCTCTTGGTTTAGACATGAGCTGCACGTCATCGTAGACGAGGTGTACATGCTGACGGTCTTTGATGAATCTGTCACCTTTCACAGTGTCCTCAGTCTAGATAGGTACGGCGTGAGTACTCTATTAAATCTTTAATCATCACAATTGTGACTGAGGACATCCTCTTATCTCCTGCTGATATGTCCTTATTTCAGTCTGCCTGACCCACAGAGGACGCATGTGATGTGGGGGATGAGTAAGGTACGTACTGCAGAGGGCTGACAACGTGTTGGATGTTTTATGTTCTTGCTGACAGAAAATGAAATTCTCTTCTTTTGTGGGTGTTTGGTCTCACAACTTTTTTCTTTTCTGATTTGTTCCTTTCTAGGACTTTGCAATGTCAGGGATCAGAATAGGCACTCTGTATACTGAGAACAGAGACGTCGTGGAGGCTTTGGCTCAGCTGGGCTCCTTTCATGGTATTCCTGGAACTTTGCAGCACCAGGTGGCACAGCTGCTTCAGGACAGAGGTAGGAGCCTGGTCTCATGTGTGTTTTTATAAACACACAGCAGCTGGGACATTAGATTAGCCATAAACATGTCTCAGAGGACGAGTCGGCTCATTTGGCCGAGGTGCCTCCCAGTGCCTTCGTTTCACTCCCCTTCCAGCTTTGTTTTTTGTGCTCTTCATGAAGCTGTAATACTTGTGATGTTAAACCTACTTATAGACTTTGATTTTCTTATTTTGCAGAATGGATCGACAATGAATTTTTACCTGAAAACAGACGGAGGCTGAAAACTGCCCACAACTTTGTGACTGGAGAGCTGCACAGCATAGGCATCCCCTTCCTGAACAGACCTGCTGCTCTGTTTGTCTGGGCTGACTTCAGACAGGTAACTACAAGTGGATTTAAACTCAATTGCTTTTATTTTGTGGGAACTGGTGCCTGGGCAATGTGAACCACACATTTCATCTCTAAGGAGTTCCAGATTTGTCCTAAATCTAAAAAAAAAAAAAATCATTCCTGAAGGGTTCTTTTGTGTCTGGTTGTTTTGGTAGTATCTCCGGGAGTCATCGTTTGAGGAGGAGCTGCGTCTGTGGAGGTGTTTCCTCCGACACAAAGTCCTGGTGAGCTGCGGCCAGGCGTTCTCCTGCTCCACACCTGGATGGTTTCGGATTATCTTTGCAGATCACCAGCACCACCTTCAGCTTGGTCAGTTATTTCAGCACTTTACACGTACGGTTTATATTAGTAGCATCAATAAAATGCTTCATCAACTCTTTTCTGTCTGTATTTATGTTTTGATAAGAGACATGTGTGACCGCCCAGAGCTTTAAACAGGATGAGTTACAGAACGTGTTCGTGACATTATAAACTACATATGCACTGTAGTTTATCAGTTTAGCTACAGTATATATGGATTAATTTCCAGTTTTAAAAAGGTGCTGCACTTTAAAAGATTACTGTTGATAAATAAATATCTATGCCAAATGAGTATGTCGAGAATAAGCCCTGTAAACCCATTTTTCCTTTCACCTGCTCCAGCTCAGGGCTCTCATACCTAAAAAAAATAGCATAACTTCAAACATGAATAATCTGCTGCTGAATCTCAGCAGAGAAAAATAAATTAAAAGTGATTTTATAAGATGGGCACGCCTGACAATTTTGTAGAGGAGTAGAATAAGTTTGTTGAAAATGAACATGCTTCTATGGTTACTCTACCCTAACCAGATGTTCCCAGTGTATGTTCCCAGAAGGTCAGTTAAAATAATTGAAAATAACCATTTTTAATTTATTTGGTAAGAAAACAATTTAATATTGAGTATGAAAACTCGTCATTTACCAAAAGACAAAATAAATATTGCTTTTACCTGTATTATGTATTATAATTGGGCCTGTCATAGACTCATCCATGAGTGGAACAAGCTAATTCTCTATCGTACTATAAAGATCTGGTGTGATATAAATAAATGTAGTCACAGATGACTATGAATATGCATAAGAACATTTTCCCATGTGGTGTAAAATCTTCGGAATTCAACTCCTGGCATCAAAAAATGAATCGGAATAGTTTCATTGTTTGATGATAATAATGTACTTATGTTTTAACAAGCTCAAAACATTTTTTATCTTTCACAAAAAAAGTTTTTTTTGTTTTTGCTTACACTCTAAGTTTGTCATTTTGCTAACTCAAATGTTTATTTAAAACAACACACTTATTTTGTTGGGGCCTGTTTAAAAATTCATGCTCAGTGTCATTCAAAGTAAAGGTTTTCCTGCAGAAGTGTTTTAGTGTTGTAAGGATCTTCAAAAGATGGGAGGATAATCTGCAGAATGTTTATGACAAAGAGACAACGCTTTCAGTTGTCTCACTCTTTGTATGTTAGTGATAAATTCGAACAAAGTGAATATAAAAGACGACATGCAACACATAAGGGTTAACGTAACATAACACATTATGTCTTGAATTAAGGTAGATCACCTTATGCCTCTAATGTAAAAACAGTAATAAACAGTTATAACATATAGACTCTGTTTCTGGAGCTGATCCTGCATATCTAAGTTTGGACCACTATAAGTAAATCGGTACGTGCAATTATTAAACACGGATTCTGTAAAGATCTAGGTCACTTTCTGTTAAGGTTGACTCTAAAATATAAAAGGTTAGACTGAAGGAGACTTAAATTAATAAATAAACCAGGGCAGAACATGAATTTTATTTAATTTGATTAAAAAACAAAGCAAAACTGTAACTCTGTGCTCTAGATACATTTTTAGGTTTATTTTAATGGAGTGTGAAGCGAAGTGTGTCTTTTGCACAATGTAAGTCTCCCATAACAGCATCAGTGTTTTTCTCCAATAGTTTCTTAAAGACAGTAAATCACGCAGAAGGCTCATTAAATCCTATTAAAACTGAGAGAAAGATTTTCAGAGAAAATCACATATTGCTTTGTTTTAATTCACTCTCACGGTCAATTTTTTTCACATTAGAAACAAGAATACCACACTGATGTTCAGGGATGTCGTGCAGTATATTTGGTTGCAAAACTGTGTCATTATAAAAGTTATAATTTATTTTTGCATGACTCAGATTGATAACGTGAGTTTTATCGTCTGAGTCCGGTGAAATCATCTCCATGGCAACTTGGTAAACAGCTGATGGACATCTGTAGCTTCCCTTCATCGCTTTTATTTACTCACTTTGATAGATTCAGTTTAAATATTTACAGCAGTTAGCGAGGGACAAGTTTCAGCAGTCCCTCTGCAGTTTCTTCTGGAGTGGTGCCATCCAGTGTAAATACAATCTGGTTCTGTCAATGCTGAGACTGTTTTCCTCATAAATGCTGCTTGATTTATTATTACAGCTTCTGTCACGATTAAAATAAAGTGTTTGGGATAAGAAACAAGTTCAAATTTTAGAATATTGGACCACAAATTTTGACATCCCTGAACAACCCCAGTGGACTTCTTTAGTGAAATATATTTGATTTATATTGGATATATTTGATTGATCAAAGCTGAATTGTTAAAAAAAAAAAAAATGAAGTAGCTTAGTGTGTTTTTGTATTAGAATTAGAAAAATTAAAAAGAGTTGTTCATTTTGTTCTGTTACTTGAAAATTATTGTGATTGAACTAATTGTTTGAAACAAGGGGCAGATATAATGAGATTTTTTGCTTCTTCTGCTGCCTTTCATTTTAAATCTCTTGTATATTTTTTATATTGTTATGGAATTGTTTTGTATTTTTTAAAATGAATAAACTTTATACCATACCATACCGTATTTATAAAGTTAGTTATTTTTTTCATGCAAGTCAAATTAATCAGATGAGTTATTGTTTCAGCTTAAGTTGGAGTTTTATAAATTGATTATTTTATATTAAACTACACACTTAAAAGACCTTTTTGTTGCATTCTAACCCATATTTAAGAAGCTATTGATCGTGTTTTGTTTTATTTCAGGCCTACAACGAATTCAGGAGGCTTTGAAGGAAACTGAAGACAAAAGTGCTAGTGCTGTGACACGCTCAATCAGAAGAACTGTTGACATGAGCAAGAACCCAGTAAAAGAGGAGCGTGCCGGACCAGACAACGCTGTGATTGTCAATTCAACATCATCGCCTCACAGCAAGTCGTCAGAGCAGCTGAAGGAGAGGGATAGTCCTGTGCTTGACACGGGCTCTGTTTCTCCCGAGGAGTTGGTTTTGCTGGACTGCCAAGCGTCAAAGCCTGCAGAGAGTCTGGACTCACTTATTGGAACTCTCAGGAATCAGATCCATTCCTCTGATTGGCTGGAGAAAAACACTCCAGAGCTGTCTGCCGGGGAGGACCCAGAGATTCTTGATGTGTTCAAGGCCCTGCTGCAAAGAGCCAGAAAGTAAGCTTGAAGATAAACGAGCACAAATGTAGCCAACAAAATGTCCTCTGTTGTGTGATAAAAAGCCAAACACAAATGCTGCACAAAAAGTGACTCATCAGAGATTATGATAAGGAGTAAAGAAAAAATTCAATTCAAAGGTCAAAGTTTGATGACAAGCTTCTACATAAATCTTGAGCCTTATTGTGAGCCTACAAATGAAAATGTTTGTTTTTTGTAATCTAGAACATGATATCAATATTTTCCTCAAAATCAAACTGAATACCAGATGTAATTCAACCAAGTTCTGCTCAGATATTATTACCTAAGTCTGAATTATTTTTAGGGATGCACGATATTATCGGCATGGTATTGGTATCAGATGATATTTGCATTAAAGTTAAATATCGAATATAGGCCATTCCATCAAAATAACTCGCTGATATAAAAGGCGCTGTTTTACACACACACACACACACACATACATACATATATACATATATATACATATATATATATATATATACATATATATATGTATATATATACAAATTTGACATTAAACATAATCCGAGCATCATTTTCAGCCCCCTTTTTTGGCATCTGCATTTAGTAGCAGGCCAAATTGACAAAGACCATGCAGAATAATGTAGTATTTTAATTCCACAGCAGAGAAAGCGATGTAGTCTCTGTACGTAGGTCTAGGAAAAAAATTACCAGTATCGGTTATCGGCCAAATAAGTTTTAACATATTGCCTTATTGGATATCGGCCAAAAATCCAATATCGTGCATCCTTAATTATTTTAGTTGTATACAGTTAATTTTATTAGATTATTTTCTGTGATTTCATTAAACTGTGAATAAAGAGTCAAAGTACACTGTTGCTTTATCATTTACTTTGCGTTTTACATATAAATGCAGCTGTCAGATCATTCGAGTGATTGTTTTTTTTTTAACTTTCGTCTGGGTGGTCTGTGGGTGCTGTTCCGTTGCAACAAAGGAAACTAGGGAGGGTAGTTATATGATGAATCGAGACTTGTGAGGTTTATTACACCCTCACACATTGTTCACAATAGGAAAGCGAGAGTGGGATTTCCTTGATGTTTTGTCATGCATGTTGACCTGATAACCCCCCTCCTCCACATATATATATATATATATATATATATATATATATTATGTGATGAATGTCAGAGTGTTGATTCGCTGTTACACCAACTCTCAACAACAGTTTCCTCCCACAGACCAAAAACATGCACGTTAGGTTCGTTGGCAACGAAGTCATTAGATGAGTGAGAGTGAATGGTTTGTCTATGTGGCCCTGTGATGACCTTGTGACCAGTCCAGGGTGTCCCCTGCCTCTCGCATAACTGCTGCTGAACGGCACCAGCTCCACCACCAACCAAAACGAACAAAAGGTAAAGGAAATGGCTGGATGGTTCATGTCTCTCGTGCGTTATAAGGATTTACACTTTCTAACTTCCCTCTTAACATTAAGTTCTGCTTTGTTAATATTTAAACAGCAGTTGATGCAGCTTTCACTTTCTCTACAGTCACAGTGGAGAATTCACGGGGAAATTTGTCCACTGGTGGGGGGAGTTTCCACTGCAGCAGAGGTGGAGTTACATGAAGTGGGTTTGTCAGTGAGTGCTTGTAGCCACATGCAGTGGAAGAAACACTGGAAATAGCATTAATACAGTGGCAACTCTACGTGGTTATTCATTTGTACACAGACTGAGATCCGGACACAACTTCACGGTTTTCCCTCATACGTTTTGTTCTCATCAACGAGAGGTAAGACCTTTTTTTAAAGCTGATGTAAATAAAAAGTTTTAATTTTGTTTGTATCTTAGCTTCAGTACAGTTTTACAGTACATGACAATTTGTGCCTTCTGTTTTTCTTTCAGTGGTATAGAAATGAAGCTTTTTGAGCTGGGAGACTCCATTGGTCGCTTCAGGTTTGCCCAGTCTTGTTTGGGATTAGCAGGCTGCCTTTGTGTGTCCTATGCTGTCTGGACACCCTTCTGGTTGACTAACAAGGGGCTGTGGACAACATGGAACGAGGACAGAAGTGACCAAACCAGTAGTAAAGATGATGTCTTCAGTGGTGAGTAAAAATCAGTGTTTACCGCTCACATCTTTTTTTGAGTCAACAAATCCAATTTGCCATCTGTCGATAGCTGTCACTCTGGGTTTAGGTGAAAAGACTGACTCAATAAAACTTGTTAGAGGAGAAGGCAAATTTAATGTTTGTCTTTGCTGCACTGATTTGAGAAGGCACTTGTTCTGCTGGAAGTCAGCCTTAGGGAGATTTATTTTGTTTATCTAAAAGTCGAACCACAATCAATATGAAGAGAAAAGACTCAGGGGATAAAACTTCTGAACAGTCTTTAACAAGTTGGAACTTGCTCCCGTTTCAGCGAATGGCATTCTCTGAATCAGCTGAAACAGTTACGGTGCGGCAGAGAACATTTTACAAGGATCTTTCAAATTACAAGGCGAGCTCCAGACTTGGTATGAATACTCCTTAGGGATAGCTTCATCAAAAAAAGAATACGGCCACACAAAAATTCAAGATGGCAGCCTTATTTTTTCAAGATCGTCACCACCCAAAGTGGCAATCACAGTTTTCTTGTATCTTCTACAGTATTTGTCCAATTTCTAAGATGTAGACATCAAAACAGACATTTCTTGAACCACTGAGTTAAGAATATTTTGACTTAAAAAAAAAAAAAAACTTTCTACCTGATCTGATGCTTCCATGTAAATAGGTTTGTTTTAGTAGTGCTAGTTGGGACATGTTTTCATTAAATTTAGTTGGCGGCTTTGGCTGAGCGGTTACAGCAGTCGTCCTCCAATACAAAAGTTGGGGGTTCGAATCCACCAGCAGTCGCATGCCGAAGTGTCCCTGTGCAAGACACTGAACCCCTCATAGCCTCTCATGTGTGTCCCATCAGTGTATGAATGTGATAAAGCTCTGATTAGTCTCTTTAGAATGATTTGTTCAATTAGCTTTGTATCGATCTAGTAGAGTGCTGTATGAATGGGTAAATGAGGCGCAGATTGTAGTGTAAAGTACTTTGAGTATCTTGATAAGATAGAAAGATGCTATATAAGTACAGTCCATTTAGTGCTACAGGCCCTGTAGTCTGCTGTGCTCTAATATAGTGTAGTTAGCTTGTCTTTCTCGCTTCCAACTGCAGCTGCCGTCTTAGCTCTGAAGCGAAAAGAAGGGCAGAGTGCGTAAGACCCTTACAGGTGGTCTCAGTTCTCCAGGTCAAGACTTACACAGTGCATCCATGTGGCACATGGGCAACTGGATACCTTGCAGCTCCATGCTAGACTGTGTGGGATCTTGGACCAGAATGGAGCCCCAGAGGTGCAGTGTCCACTGGTACTCACTATGCCAGTCACCTGCTGCCTATAGTTTGCACCTCTTTAAGCAAATACTAGGAGAAATAAAACAAAGTACAAACCACTAGTCTTGTAGGGGTGTCTTTGTAGAGAAAGGCTAGGAGAAGGGAACTCCTACATCTAATCCACTGTATATTAATGATGTTAATGTTATGCACAACCAGGGCATACTGGTAACTTCACTGCTGTGTAACTCAATATGGGGTTCACAGTCAACTAATCTCACTTTGCTAATAAACCAGCTGTAGCAATAGTTAGTAGTAGTCTAGTTTAGTGTCCCGAATGCTATCACATGAGTCCCACTAGCTAGAAAATATACCGGTAGTTTAGTTCCTTAGTTTCTGTTAGGTAGTTGCACCTGAATTGACAGGATGTTCTAGGGCAGGAGAGCCAAACCATTGGTATCATGGGGCCCTGTATTATGTTCTTTACTTGCTCAGATGGTGTACAGATCACACGGGACTTAAATGGTATTGAATGAATGATCGGGCAAGATGAAGATTACAGAAAGGCATTAAAACACTAATTATACATTGAAAAAACTGTAATCATTGACTTGTTACCAGTATGTATATGATAGATAGCACTTCTAATGTTGGTTGCCAGTCCCATTTACCTCATACATGTGGGGTAACAACCCATAAATATTTTAAAGGCTGATCTGGTTGTGCCACTTGTGCCTGCTGTCAATAAGAAAACACTCCCAACCAAGACTGTTGTTCTACATTGTTAAAAAAAAAGGTCGCCTGTTACTGTTCTTCTCCCCAGTGAGTTGTAGAGAGTACCTGCTGTGAAAGAACATCTGCATTAATTTATAAAGCACATAAAGTGTTGGATTTTATTCTCTCAGTGGTTTGGTGTTTATCATGCTAAGGAATTACTGCAGTCAGTCACGTGAACATTTCTGATGTTAGACTCGTGTGTTTGCCGTGTGTCTTCCAGCTTTGGAAGCAGAGAGAGTATTTGGAGTCATTTCATCCCTGATGGCTGTGAGCACCGGAGCTCTCTGTCTGGTGTTCACCCTCTGCTGGACGTCTCAGACCGTACGTTCCTACTCCAACACCCGCTCGCTCCTCATGGCAGGACAAGCTCTCTACCCCACCACCCTGCTGCTGCTCACCATGGCCTCCACAGGTACGAAACAGAGGATGCAGTTGCGTGCGCATGTGCCTCACACACACTGACTGTGTTAACAGTTTCACTTAATTTAAAATGTTACAAACCTTCATTTAACCCCAAACTCTTTTCTGTTGTTCTGGGCCTGTAATCTTTGATTTGTTCTTTTAACAGCAACAATTTGACCAATATCTTTATTTGTTTGCAGGTTTCTTCTTCCTCCTAAGCTGGTCATTTTTCACATATCAGCACAGGGAGGAAATTCGTCAGGACTTTTCCAGCCTCGGATCCTCCTACTGGCTGGGAGCTGTAGGCTGGATCCTGCTGCTGGTTGTGGAGCCGATCGTTTTTATCGCTGAGCAAGCTGTCGTGCCAGACATCATACCTGACCTGGAGAAGGCTGTGGAGTCATGGCATATTTCTTCTGCCAAGCGGCTCTTCAGTGAGGGTTACTATCCTGCGGTCTGCAAAAGCGACATACCCCCAAAGAGGAACATGTCAGTGTTTTGAAAGAAACTTGTATCATGAACACACAGAGATTCACTGTGATGATCTGAGCTCTGTCAGTCATTGGTGCTGAACTCCTCCAGCGGGGCTGACTGCAGTTCTTCAGTGT